GATTACTAAATCAGTCGATGTTTTATCAAATGGACAAAATGATATTAATGAAGGAACAATCTTTCTCCTAGAACAACTGTCTCTTAATAATGAAGTATGTAAAAAATGAATAGTACATTACATGATTTTTATTCATAGAAAGTATCAGCGATTTTTGGAACAAAAGTAACTTACATAAGATATTGTGAAAATTGCCACAAGGTGTTTTTATAATCTACAAATATAAGCTTTTATTTGTGATTTAGCACGACAATGATGATGAAACACACCCTTGGATAATGCTACCTTGCTATTCAAGAATTTCTAGTGTTCAAAAGGAATGGATTTCAAAATTGCAAAGCTTAAATGAGGAATTAAGTGTTAAAATGTATGTTCAATAATGTTAAACAATTTTCTAAAATGAAATATTTTCTTGTAGTTGCACCAGTTGTGGGGATGATATGACTAATACAGAGTCACTAGTTTCATCTCTACCAGATATTTTAATTTTCTTCATTCCACGAACTTATTCATTTGCGTATAACCGTCGCCAGGTGAAATCAGTTAAAAAAGTCATTGTTGAAGAGTAGGTTTAATGATCATGTAGACATTAATAATTATATATTAAATTAGAAATTTGGAAATTGATGAATTAGGTAAACCTAAAAGATACGAGTTAATTGGAATGGCTGTAAGCTATGCAATTTATTGTGGCTGACTTTAGAATCTTTTGCAGGTACATCACGGTGATCTCAGCAGCAGTGGACATTGTAACATCTATTGTAATGTAATCACTAATATGTTACATTTCTTATATAGATACAGCATACCTAAGAAAAGGAAGCAAAACAATTGAATACAATGACAACTCCATCAACCCTGATTTCAATCTGAAAAACAATGAAAGATATATATCAGTTTAGGAAATTAATTTACATGCATGTGTATGCCACTATGTTTTGTTATAATAGAGCAATGTGTGTATGGTACTGTACAAAGCAAATGAGATGAAAGTAAGTAGATGTGTTGCTTTTTATGAGCTAAATACTATTCCATTAATTTTACAGACAGTTGTTCTTCAATCAAGTACAAACCCACCAATCCTTTCCTGGAAAAGTGTTA